AATATATATATATATTACCTTTATATTACACATGAGAAGGCTCCTGTAAATCTGTCTTTAATTCCTCCTGTTGTCACTGTTGTTTAAATATGTTGCCTCTAATTACCTGTACCGCATAAAAACATATATAGTCTAGCAGTACTGGAAATGACTCCATAAATTTTGTATTTTTACTCAAAACGTCATATTTAAATTTGGGGTAATTATCCGTATCGTTATACAAATATTGTTCAACGTCTGGAAAGTACAGTAGAAATACATATATACAATACACCATGTAGCAATATCGGTATTTGACACCTAACTTAACCATGTGAAACATATTGCGCAAACTGTCCCTAATTTTTGACCGATAGACGAGAGATATTCTGTTTACTTGTTTGTTGAATTTCGCGCAAAGCTCGAGGGTTATCCGCATTAGCTCTCCCTAATTTGAAATTGATAGACTAGAGGGAAGGCAGCTAGTCAACACCTCCAATCGCCAACTCTTAGGCTACTGTAATCGAATAGTGGAATTTGACCGTCACTCTTATAACGCACCCACAGCGAGGGGATGGGAGTCGAACCGAAACTTCATAGTTATCGTCTTCAGAAGTTCTAACATTTCAGTTTACATTACATAACAGTCTCCCTGTGGGGAAGCGATAAGTCTATGGACTTACAACGCTAAAATGCGGGGTTTGATTCTCCGCGATGGACACAGCAAATAGCCCAACGTGGCTTTTCTCTGAAAGAATCAAACCACCCCCCATAACAACGCTAAGTAAATAGATTTTAATCTCAAATGTGGATATTAATTTACAGCATACGTGAGATTTAGTTTTATTCCGATTATTGGATAAATTACTAATCACCTGCTAGAGGGACGGTTGGAAAAATTAAATTTCATAGTGAATTCTTTATAATTTAAAAAAAAAAACTCATTTCACGCAAAGTTGTACTATTTGACCTGATACGTCGATATCAGTTTTATTGTACTAAACGGCCCTACATGGCCAGGTGGTTAAGGCACTCGACTCGCAATCTGAGGGTCGCGGGTTCGAATCCCCCGTTACA